ATCATGTAGCAATTCTCCACCACGTGATTCCCACCACAAAAGAACACCATTGGGGTTGTGATATGGATGCATGAGATGAGCTATCTTGAATATATTCTTGACTTGAGTTGGTGAAATTTGAGAAAGGTAATTGTTGTTCCATTCCTCCATATTCTTGATTCATATTCCAACTCATCTCATAACCCTGAGAAAGAGGGTATGTAGAACGGTAGCATGGTTCCTTGGAATTCATATCCATCCATAAACTAAAAAAAATTGTTAATGAAGATAAAAATAAAAAAAAATGGATTAGGCTCCTAGAATAAAGCTTTACTAATGTAAATACTGAACGCCACTTCCCCGGCAACGGCGCCAATTTGATGCGTAGTATATTTGCAAACAAATAATACTCGGAGTACGAGTTATCGATCCACAGGGAAGTGGTTGTATCAAGCACTAGTTACTAATTTATTCATTAGAGCTAATCCTAACAATTGTTCAGATGATTGATTTGCATAAAATAAATAAAATAAAACAGAGATTCAGGATTTTGAAAGCAATTAGAGAGAAGATAAGGTTCCTGAGATTCAAGCATTTAATCACCTAGTGCCAAATCTTAAGGACAATATTAAAATCTGGGTTTAACAAGTGTGAGGATGCAAGGTGGTATAGAGCTACTCTCGTAGTCACTAACACTAGTGAATTTCCACTCTCGTGGCTTAAACACCCAATGAAACAAGATCAAGCATCATAAATTCCTAACTACTACCATCTCTCGATGCGCAATAATCAAGAATTAAATCCCCCTAATAAATTGCCCTTTCTCAAGGTGCAACAATTAGGTGCAATTGTGTGTGCCCAAAGTTATGCCCAACTCTCGCTGTGACACAAACACAGCAAACGAAACAAGTAACTATGACCATTAATTACAAGCATCAAACAATATTATCACCATTGCAACACAAATATTAAACCCAAGTAATAATATATTAAAGAAACTGAGAGCTCAGACACATAGGTTCATAAACACTTTTACCCAAGAATCTCTAAAGAATTTAGCCATAATACAAATTATCAAAAGAGTACAAGAATAAACCAGACGATTTTCTCAAATCTCCCTAGTCTTCTTCTTGATCCCCAAGACAACCTGTGGCTCTTGACTTCTCTCGACGCGTCAAGACCTGCTGGTCTCGATCACAAAACCTTCTGGAAATTTTTGACGCGTCGAGCCTTTGGCTCGACACGGCGAATCCTCTAGTCCCCGAACTTGTCCAAAATTGCTCCAAACTTATCCTTGAACTCCCCTTGCTCATATCTTTGACCTAAAATGGTTCAAAAATACTAACAAACACCGTAAAATATTCAAAACGAGTGTAAAACCATATCCTAATGAGAATAACAAGGAATACATATATTAAATAAGCAAAATTAAAGAACTTAATTACTAAGATGATTCAAAATAACTATAAAAACAAGCACAAATGTGATAACATCAACAATACAACTCTTACCGAGGCGGTGTTTACGGCATGGTAGTATCCGACGTCCACATAGCATTTTTTGGCCGTGCGGTGGTTGCGTCTGCCGTAATAGGAGCAGCAGGGTCCGGCAGCGGCGGCACGGGCAGTCCGACAGTGGAGGCAGTAGGGTCCGGCAGTGGTGGCAACAGCAGCATCGTTGGCAGTTCTCCGGTCGGCAGCCGTGCAATGTACGCCTCGCCATGCATGCATGGTGGCAGTCGCCACGACAATTAATTTTCTGGGTAGAGGTAGACAGGCATCCCAAACTGCTCCATTCCGTGCTCTCCAAATATGATAAAGAATTGCAGCTGCATACATAATTCCATTAGTGTCTAGAACATTTAAGATTACACTAAACCACTCATGGAAAATGATTGTCACAATATTGGGGAGTGGAAGGTTGGATTGTGCCCATATGGACTTAGCATAACCACATGATACTAATAAGTGCATAGTGTCCTCTTGCATGATCCCACACATGCCACAAATTGGATCTACATCCACCCTCTTTATAAGCAAATTATTGGTAGTGGGAAGGATATCACTTATAGCTTTCTATAAAAATGTTTTCCATTTCGGGGGGATTTTCAGTTTCCATAGGGTGAGCCATTTGTCAAATGCCCCATCATTATTATTTGTATAGTCCCTAATAATGCGTCGGTAGCCATCTTTGACAAAATAGCTACCCGTCGGATCCCCATGTCAATACCATACGTCATCATAGTCTGGGGAAATTGGTATCTTTAGGATTCGGGGTATGTCACTTGGCTGAAAAATATCTGAGAGAATATGGTGATCCCAAGTCCCTGTATCCGGATCAATCAATCCAACCACTTTAGTTCCCGCCAATTGCGGTGGCATTTCCGTATGGATCATAGGATCTAAGTCATCTTGAAGCCACGGGTGCTCCCACACCAATGTAGAAATTCCAGTCCCAACACGCCGTCTTACTCCACCACACACCAGTTCCTTAGCTGCCATAATACTACGCCAACAGAAACTGGGGTTATTTCCTATACTTGCTTCAAAAGAAGTTTGCTTAGGGTAATATCTCGCCTGATACACATGGGACACCAATGAGTCAGTGTTGGTAAGCATCCGCCATGCCTGCTTGCCCAACATTGCTAAGTTAAATGCTCTCAGATCCTTGAAACCCAGACCCCATATTTCTTTGGGATACATAATCTATCCCATGCCTTTCAGTGAATACCACGGTCAGCTTCTGATCCCCACCAATAGCGGTTCATTGTTATCTCAATAGCCGTGCAAACAGATATAGGCAGTAAAAAGACCCCCATTGAAAAGGTCGGCATAGATTGAGCCACACTTTTCAACAAGATTTCCTTACCAGCCTGTGATAACAACTTATTAATCCACGACCCAATCCTTTACCTGATTTTATCCTCAATATAAGCAAAAGCTGTTTTCTTATTCCTTCCAATGAACGAGGGTAGGCCTAGGTATTTTCCAAAATTAGGAGCCTGGGTGACTCCTAAAATTTGCGCTACCTCTTCCCTGTCCTTTTCACTTGTATTCTTACTATAACATATACTGGACTTATGATGATTGACTACTTGCTCAGAAAATGCCTCATAGACTGACAAGCAGTTCTTAACTTCATTGGCCTCTTGCCTATTAGCTTTGGAAAACAAAAGACTATCATCTGCAAAAAAATAAATGGGATATCGGGGGCACCTCTAGCAACGCTACACCCATGAACCAAGCCATTATCCTGCGCCTGTTGTAGCAATAAAGACAGCCCTTCCGCACAGATAAAAAAAGATAGGGAGATAGGGGGTCACCTAGCCTTAATCCACGCGTGGGTGTGAGTGAGTCAGTGCGAGATCCATTAATCAGAAAGCTATAAGACACTGTTGAAACACACAACATAATGAGCTTTATCCATTTTTCATCGAAACCCAGAGCTACAAGCATTCCTTGCAAGAACGGCCACTCCATACGGTCATATGCTTTAGCCATATATATCCAATTTAAGAGCTCCCCAAGCAACAACTCCACACTGTTTCCTTTTCAAATAGTGTCCCACCTCAGCAACTAGCAAGATGTTGTCAGTGATAAGTCTATTAGGTATAAAAGCACTTTGCGAGCCCGATATAATACTCCCCATCATAGGCTTCATTCTATTAGCAATCATTTTAGCCATGACCCTGTACACGACATTACTCAGTGCTATAGGTCTTAGGTCAGTTACCAGTTCACCTGTAGTTTTCTTAGGGATTAACACAACATCCGTATCTTCAAACCAGTGGGAAGATCACGAATTTAAACAATGTAATATAAAATTCGAAACATCCCCCTTACCACATCCCAGAAATACTGATAAAAACCCGAATTGATTCCATCAGGGCCTGGGGCCTTATCAGGGAACATTGCAAACAAAGTATCTTTAACCTCATCTATTTCAAAAGGTCGTAATAAAATCTCATTCTGTGCCTGGGTTACCCGTGGTGTCACCTTCTGAAATAACGAGCCCCCACTGATAGGATTACCAGAACAATTTTTTTTTTTCAAAGTAGTCGATGACAATATTCGTCATGGAATTCCCTTCCACCCACTCCCCATTATCATTCATTAGTCTAGATAGAGTATTCCTTTTTCTTCGGTGAGAAGCATACCTATGGTAGAAATTCGTGTTGGCATTGGCATTTTTAAGCCAGTGTTGCTTGGCTCGCTGCCTCCAGTAAGCATCCTCCTATGCTTCCATACTACACAAAGTTTCCTCCAGGCGTTGGAACTCAGCCAATGAGGTTGCGTCCATACGCCCCTGCAGGTTTAATTGCTCCTTCCGTAGGCTCATAATCCGCTCACCAAATTTGTGAAAACGATCTCCCCCCATTGTGACAAACAATTATCGCAATGTGAGATACAATCTTGTAAGCCCATATCCCTCCCATCCTGCCATAACTCTTCCACCACCCTCCTGCACCCCTCATCATATAACCATGCCATTTCAAAGCGGAAACCCCTCCTCCTCGCACTTCCACATCTATTATGATCACGAATCCCCAGGAACAATGCCGAGTGATCTGAAGTTCTTGTTAGCATATTAGTCACACTAGCCCCTCTCACAATTCCACACCAATCCTCCGTGACCAACACCTTACCCAATCTCTCTTCAATCCAGTTTGCTGTTCCCTTTCCCTTTTCCCATGTAAATTGGTATCCATTCATCGACAACTGAGACAATCCACATTGTTCAATAACATCCCCAAAGCCGCAAAGTAGGTTATCAGGATGTGGATTCCCCCTCGTTTCTCATACTGGAATAAGAGATCATTAAAATCGCCCACCATAACCCATGGGAGGTCAGGTCGTGGTGCTAACAATTTAATCAGATCCCATGCCTCATAACGCCTATTTCGTTCCAGAGAACCATAGTAGCATGTCATACGCCAATTCGGAAAGCCAGTTATACTAACCTCCACATCAATGTGATTCTCTGAAAAACTCATAAGCCTTGCAGTGTTGTTCTTTCTCCACAGTAAAGCTAGACCACCACTCAAACCATTATTATCAACATAAAAAAGACCATCGAAACCAAGGACACGAACACGTTCAGCATGTATCCGTCCCACCTTAGTTTCCATGAGAAAAACAAAATCTGGCTTCTTACCGGATGCTAGGTCTACAACTTCGCGAGCTGTTCGTGGATTGCCTAAGCCACGACAGTTCCAACTGAGGGTACTCATGATGATGGGCGAGTCTGGGGGCCAGAACCCGCCATGGACAAGTTTTTTGGAACCTTTGTCATTGTAATATCGCGACTAGCATCATCTGCATACATGCTACCCCCCTCCCCTTCCCGTCTCCTCTTCTTAGCAGCCACCACAACCGACTCGGGCCCCCGTCGGCCAGAATCTGAACCCGCCGCACCGGCGGTGATTAGTCCTCCCGGCAGTACAGTAGCTACGGTCGCTGCCGGTTGCACCGGCCGTCTGTCCTTATCCAAAAGCCACGGCGCCCCCTCCTCTACCCTGCACGCAGCTCATCAGTATAGGGATATTGATCTACTGGTAAAGCCGATTCCCGGGCCTTCAAACAATACCTATGCAAGTGACCTAGCATACCACAGAAAAAGCAGAAATTATGCAGCCTCTCATACATAAAATTCACCCAGCAGGCCTTCTTATCCCGTTTCGAGAGCTTCATATGCCGCTTTAGCGGTTTCATAACAGGGATCAAAACCCTAATACAGTAGAAAGTTTTCCATGGTGCATTAACAAAGCGGTCATCAACTTTAATAAAAGTCCCAAGAAAATTTGCTACCTGTTCTAGTATCACGTCAGATGTATATCCAAGTGGGAGTTCATGGAACTGAATCCACATATGTACGGTATCAAGCGGAATCGTAGTAGGTATTGCACCATCCCGAACTTGTTTGCAAATCAAGGTATGATACTCAAACGACCACGGGCCGCCATCAAGCACCTGCTGCATATCTGTCTCATGATAGAAAACGAACAGGAACAGTCCAAGTTGTATCTTAGACACCTGAACACCCTTCACCGATTGCCATATCGAGCCCATGACCTGGCTCATATACTCAACTTTGATAATCTTTGTCGTTAAGAACCTTCCGATCAAGCGCCATGTTCGACTGTTGCCGCCGGACTGTCGTCGTCAGCCTGTTCCACCGGAGCAAAAACGTCGTCCTCTTCCTCGATGACCATGTCCGCCCATCGCCGCGTCAACCCTTCAACAACTCCATTAGTTGCTGCTGCTGCTTCCATAGTTACGATCACCAATGTAAACACCAACGGTAAACACTGGCCCTTTGCCGTGGAGAAGAACCGGAAGCTAATCGAGAAGAACCCTCGGCGACTCAAGGGAGAGACCGGAACCCTAGCGTAACCCTAGGGAGAGAATTCTAAAAAAAAAAACACATTTATAAACTAATACACACATTAAATATATTATATAATATAAATAAAGTTTTGATTAATTCGAAAAATTGTATTTTTGTTTGGTTAACAGTTTACAAAAATAAAATTCTTGTTAATTCAATTTTAAGTAATTTGATTAATGGTTAACAAAATTAACTGATTGAACACTACATTTGATAAGAGTTTGATTCTAACAAATTTGATATTGACCGTTTTGAATCTAGGGCATATGAATTTGTTCTTGGGCACTTATGAAAAAGGAGTTACCAATTTACAAGCAATAATGAAGATAAAAATTACGAAATTACGTCAATTTGTGTTTAAAAATAACATTTTTTTTAATATCTTCGTACATAAATAACGAAAAGGTTATAGCAAAAAAAGCAGCAGAATATATGTTGCCGACAAGGTGTACATTACGTAAGTAACAGATTATAATATATTTCGCTGTGATCGGCGGCGATTGTTCGCAAGTCACTTTGTTGTGTGAAATTTCGCCAGTTGATTATCGGAACCCTAATGACATGTGATAGCAGGTCATTAACTGATTTTTAAATTTTATTTCATCAAAATAAATTGTTAATGTGTGTAATTGCATCTTTAAAAAGTTTAGGAGGCTAATTGACTTTTCAGCTAAAGTTCGAGGGCCTATTTAACTCTTTTCCATTATTATTATTATTATTATTATTATTATTATTATTATTATTATTATTATTATTATTATTATTATTATTATTATTATTATTATTATTGTTGTTGTTGTTGTTGTTGTTATTGTTTTTGTTCTTATTATTGTTATTATTATTATTATTATTATTATTGTTATTATTATTATTATTATTAGTATTATTATTGTTATTGTTGTTGTTGTTGTTTTTATTATTATTATTATTATTATTATTATTATTATTATTATTATTATTATTATTATTATTATTATTATTATTATAATAGAATAATATAAATATTAAATATTTTAATATAGAGTACTAATATTGGACATTGATTTTTGCGCATAGCGCATAAAAAATAATTTCCCAATATTTTTGGGTGGAACAAAGGACTACTCCATACCCAAAGTGTAACACCCCGTGTTACGGACCCTAAAACCAACTGATTAATTAATTAATTAATTAATAACCCAGGAGAAAGAATAAATTATAATGGCTAATTAGGGAAAAAGGCCACCATAGCCCATGGGCCCAATTATATAAACCCAACCCCTAAACCCAATAGGAATAAACTCTAAATAAACCCTTGGATCTATAAATAGGGAACTTAGGGAGCACCTAAAACCCCCTCCCACACGCCTAGACGCCCCATCACCCCAAGAGAGCTCCAAGAATTCCCTTAGAAGAAATCAAGAAAGCAAGAAAGCTTAAAGAAAGATCCTTCATAGCCAAGGAATTAATTAAGGCTAAGAGGTAACCCATGTCTCAACAAAACCTATTTTCATAGCTATGATTTCCCCTTAGGGTTTCCCCCATATTATTGTGAATGGCGAAATTATGGTGATTATTATTGATGATGATTTGATGATTCCATGGGGAATCTTGATAATCTTGGTAATTGGGAGTTTCTTGATAATAATGATGTTCTTGATGATTAATTGGGATTTTGATGATTATGTGTTGTTCTTGATGATTATGATGTTCTTGATGATTAATTGATATCCTTGATGATTATGTGTTGTTCCTACCGAATCTTACAATTAGAAGACGAACCGTATTCTTGTTGATATAAAAATGATTAGAACCCTAGGTTGTACCGTATGATCTATTCTCGGGTTATCGGGTGGGAAATCGCATGTTTGGGTGTTGATTGTATTTAGGAAAGCATGATAGGTTATGTGCCGTTCGTTTATCGTATTTGATCCGTTAATTGTATATGTGTTGTCGTTAATTGCGTTGAAAAGTGTCTAAGCATGGTTTCGGGTTCCACAACGGTTCCCGGGACGTATTTGATGAAAAAGAGTCAGTGGGGGGTAGGTGGGGGGTAGGGGACCCGCCACCTACCCGGCGCCGTGAACCACCGCCTGGCAGCGGGTGGCCGGCGGGCGGGCAGCTGCCCGCCGGCGACCCGCTGCCCGTAACAGTGACTCCGGCGGGCAGCCGGCGGGTGGCCCACCACCCACCGGCTACCCGCTGGAAATTCGTCCCCCTCGGGACCCCGGCTTCCCCGTTTGATGTTTCCCCGATCCCCGTGGTGTCCCAACGGACCCCGTTTGTCGTGCCTATGTCTAGTTTGATATTTCGGGTACCGTTCGTAGGTTTATGAGTCTATTATATTGCATGCTAGTTGAATTGGTATCCCGTTGACCTAGGTGGAAGGAGTATGAACCCTTTAGGACTATTCTTAGTAAGTGATGGATCACGCATAGGTTTTATTATACGCTTTCTCCCCCTTCCTAATGTGTAATGTGGGTTGCATGTGCCTGCTATGTGTTATGTGTGCGCGTTACCCCAATTCGGTTGCGATCGGATTGGCTATCCTGAGCTGCGGTTCAGAAGCCGGCTATGGTCAGATGGGAATTCCTGGCTGTAGTCGGATGACGGTATCCTGGGCTGCGGTCCAGAAGCTGGTTGTAGTCAGATGGGAATTCCTGGCTGCAATCAGGTGACATCTTTCCTGAGCTGCGGTTCAGAGGCTGGCTATAGTCAGATGGGAATTCCTGGCTACAGTCAGATGACACACTCTCTTGGGCTGCGGTCCACTGTTTGGTTGCGATCAAACATTATGATGAGCTGCGGTTCATCGGTCGGTTGCGATCGACCCCTCCGTGTTGCGATACGGGGCAGGGTGCTGCGGGGCCGTGTCAGAGCTATATGCGCTGACCCTCATGTATGGGCATGCGATTGGTCCTGTGGCGCCAACAAAGTGTGCTATGTGTTGTGATATGGATGAGCTGTGATTATGAGTGCCTTGGAGAAATGTGACTGTGGGATTTATGTTGGGGATTGATTATGATGGGTGGTGATCATTGTTTATGCCTTGCCTTATCTGCCTTATCTATTGTGAACTGCATATGACTGTTATGACTATTGCTTGCATCTGACCTTATCTGTCGAGTCATTCCCGGTTTTAAAAGCTAGAGTTCGTAGGATATATCTTCATGCTCACAATGGTTTTCGTATATCTATATATATATATATCTCTATATGTATTGTATTTCAACGCGTTGGAGTGGGTTACCAGCATCTCTCGCTGAACAGATATATTTGGCTTTCAGGCACAGAGGATTAGAGCACTGGAGCGCGCTAGAACTGGAGCGTAGAAGTAGTATAGTTTCCCTTTCGGCCTGCGTGCCATGTTATGCCTTTACATTTCAGAGGATAGTAGTTAGACAGCCTGTGCACCTGGGTTCTCTAGCCCAGGTGTGGCATAGCACCCCGTACTCTTATGTTACGCTTTGGGATTTAATGAGATGTTACCTTTATTATTAAGTTTTAAATGTCTTGAAAATCAGGGGTGTTACAGTTGGTATCAGAGCCTAAGTTTGACCCTAGGAAAGACTCTTAAGACCGGACTTTAGGACATTAAGCTTGAACTCTAGATATTTAGGAACATAGGACTCAGGAATCTTAGGACGCGCGGTGAGATTGTGAAACCTACACATAACCTCCTCTCACTTTATCCCTCTCTAATATTAGGAATCCCTTCCCCACTTATTATATCAAGATTGAAACACAAAATAATATCGACCTTTAATCGCCAGGAATGGCACCCAAGAAGAAACAGTCAGGAGCACCGGGACACCCCTCTCAAGAAATCTTGACTCAAGCCCTACAACGCCTGACCCAAATTGCCCAGGCACTAAGTACTATCGTACCCCAACCTCTGCCAACAGACGAGAACTTGGAAATCCACCACCAAGTCTCGGCACATCAACCACCCACCCTCTCGGGAGATGAAGACCCCACAACCCTCGAGGAATGGATTGAGACATTCGACAAGGTGTTCAGGGCGACCCAATGCCCCGAACGCCACCGGGTCAGGATAGCCTCCTTCTATTTCAAGCACGAGACCGACAACTGGTGGGCCCGCGAGGGGCCTATGTACGAGCAAGACCCCGGATTCAACTGGGAGAACTTAAAGACGCAGTTACGAGAACAGTTCTACCCCAACTACCTGCGTGCCATGTTATGCCTTTACATTTCAGAGGATAGTAGTTAGACAGCCTGTGCACCTGGGTTCTCTAGCCCAGGTGTGGCATAGCACCCTGTACTCTTATGTTACGCTTTGGGATTTAATGAGATGTTACCTTTATTATTAAGTTTTAAATGTCTTGAAAATCAGGGGTGTTACACAAAGTCAAAGATCAAACCCTTAACATTTGGTTCAGAATGAATTACTGGAAAAATAGCATGAAAATGGCATAATAAGTGACTATTTTGTGGTACAAATATATGTGGGGTTCACTTCCAATTTGAGTCGAGTGAAACTGGATTCGGGTTCTTCGTAGTTAGACGAACAGATTGATATATTGTCGCTCAAAAGAAATTAATGGACCAAAATGATGATTTTTTTTTCCAAAAATAATAATTTTTTTCGTAGGATTATTGTATTTCGAATAACATGAATGAGTCCCTTCTACTCAACCACACCCCAGGTTGGTAGTGTTGTTGTATAATACATTTATAATGCACAACAAAAATAAACTATTAATTAAGGACAAATTAGACTTTAACAAAAGAAAATGAATCCACACACTTGTGTGTGTAAATATTCTAAATTAAAATGTGGTTACTTTGATCTAAAATGAGGTTATTATGAATTGTTTGAGGTAACAACAAATTAATTAAAAATATAATTTCTTAATGCATAAAATTAATACCAAAGTCATTACTTCAATATGTTTAATCTTGTATCATCTTCAGTAGGAATGTTGATGTGCCGGTGGGGAATGCAGTTGCTACGTCATTTGGCATGCAACGATCTGAATCCTTGGGAAAATATCTGGGGTTGCCCCTTGGGATAGGGAGAAATAAGAAGGAGGTTTTTTGGTACGTGGAGGCTAAAATACAACAGCGTTTTAGAGGATGGAATAACAAATACTATCGAGAGCGGATAAGGAAATTTTGCTAAAGAGTGTAGCGCAAGCAATCCCTAAGTACACTATGAGCATATATGACTTACCTGTTACCTTTTGTGAAACAATGGAGAGCCTGATGAATCGGTTTTGGTGGAATGCTAAGAATGGCGGTGGGAAGGGTATGCATTGGTTATCATGGTCTAGAATGTGTATGCCAAAGCAGTATGGGGGTTTTGGTTTTAAACGATTGCACGAATTTATTGTGGCACTTTTAGCAAAGCAAGGCTGGAGGATACTATCTAGGCCGGATTCAACAATGGCTCGTTTATTTAAGGCTTGGTACTTTCAGAAATGCTCCTTTCTTGATGCATCCATAGGTCCGAATCCAAGCTATTGTTGGAGATCAATATTGGCGGGCCAGACTATATTCCGGAATGGCTGCTATTGCCGAATTGGTATTGGACGGCACACTCGTATATGGGGGGATCCATGGTTGCCCGATAACGATAATCCATACCCCATAACATCACGGTCTGAACACCATAGAACAGCAACAGTGTCAGCTCTTGTTGATCCGGTTAGCAACACTTGGGCTTTACCACTGCTTGATGAGCTTTTTTGTGCAAGAGATGTACGTTTGATTAAGCAACTGCCTTTATCACCTGCTTATGAAGATGAATGGAGTTGGCGTAATGATGTGCGTGGCTTATACTCGATTAAGCATGGGTATAGATTGGCTACGGGGGCTACAAATAATGATGTGTCTACATTTACAGCCTGGGATTCTAAATGGAAACTCCGCATTCCTCCAAAATATCTCAACTTCCTGTGGAGGTGCGCCCGTTCGGTTCTCTCGGTAAGTACCAATCTCACTAATCGTGGTTTATCCATTGATCACTCTTGCCCTTTATGTTAGTCTGAACCGGAAAACCCTCTGCACCTCTGAGAGATTGCCTCTTCACGACAGATTGCTGGAATAATCTGCCAAATTTTCCCTACCATGCAAATGCCTCATTTGAGGATTGGCTTACTGGTGGTTTGTCACTGAGCGACGTGGCCAGTAAATATGGCTTCATTGCACGCTGCTGGATGGTGTGGAAATCCAGAAATGATCTGGTATGGAAGCAGGTACCCTAATCGATTGAGGGGTTATGACACACTGATAATTCAGGTGTGACATTGATAATTGACATATTTGTGAGGGGCATAAATTACAATTTCCCCTTTAATTAATATGGTAATTCGAAGAGGCAACATTAGCTAAATAAGAACACTGGCTAATTGCCGTGACAGCTTCTCAGTCGCCTGTGTTTCGTCTTCTATGTCCTCAAGCCACAACATTTTTCAACTAATAGCCCAATTTTCATTACGGAAAATAGCATTTTTTCCTCAACACACAGCCACCCGACCGTGAGGGCGAAGACTTGTCTCCAGTCCTTTTTCCTGATTTGTAATCTAGGGTTTTATAGCTTTTTGATGTTCATCGCTAAAATTCGCTCATCATTTATCACATTTCCAAATTTTATACTGATAAACCAAAATTATATGCAAAAGTTTCCAGGCAAGTGGGAAGACCTCCATCACCGTGATGTTCATCGCTAAAATTCCCTCATCACACGCAAATGAGATAATGTCCAATGATTATTTTTAAATAAGTACTTCAAAGTATATCAATGCAAGATTATATAGAAGATGTTCACAATAGGTAATTGAATGTTGAATTTATTTATTTAAATTAGTAATTCAAAGTATATATATTCAAGATAATATATGAGAGATTGATTATAATTGTCACTAGAATAAATGTATTGATTATAATTGTCATTAAAATAAATGTATTGATTATAATTGTCACTAAAATTAATATTTGCAACTTTGTAATAACGCTAGTCTAAATACTTAGTCTAAAAATGATAGTCTAAATAAATATTACTTTTGGTTTAAATTTTTCTAAGTCTTCTTAATTCTTTTTTGGTTTAAATTGCTACAATTGCTGTTAATAGAGGATGATAATAAATAATTCAAAATATATGGTTACAATAGATATTGCTCTTATAAAGTCCTTTTTATTTTACAGAAACACTTACACAGAAATAGGCTTAAATTTCTAAAAATTTTACGTATTTACAATTCAATTGTGTTGAGCGGTAGTTAAACTTACATAATGACACTTAATTCGTTATCTCAATAGTGCTCTGATACCAACAGTGCTCTGATACCAAATGTGCCCTGATATCAATTTGTTGATATTAACAAGAATTCATTAGTAAGTTGATCTACCTCCTCAGTCTACTTATTTACTGTACTTCTTAACTTGTCGCGTGCTGTCATAACACAAAATTCCCTGTTGATGGACAATTTTAAATATAGTTCACACAAGTGCACGAGTCAATTGTAGCAATAGGGTGCAAAAGCAAAGGTCGAACCCACGGAGAATTGATATGATGCAACTTGATAACTTGAAACTAAAACAATGAATTTGATAATTTAAAATGCTCAAAAACCAACTAACCATCGAAATGAATTAAACAAAATGGATACGGAGTAGGAAACAAGGTAAGAAAGACAATAAAATAACCGTGAAAGGAAATAGCAAAACTAAGATAAAGACAACTAGAAAAGAAAGGACTAGGAACATAAATCAATTACTTAGCAAAGTAACTTTGAGAAATTAATAACAACTATCATTTCAAGCATGATCATTAAGAATTATTAATGAAAACTAACTCAATATGCAGTGTTGAACATGCTGTAATCCTTCTAATAGTTATCCAAAGTGAATTAGCAACAATAAAGACTAAAGGGACAAAAATTAGCAATAATTGTAAATGGCAGTGATTACTCACAAAAATCGTCGGAATTGCCGCCGAATGAGAATTGCTCGCCAATCACTGGAAACTCGTCTTCGCCACCAAACAATCAAAACTGAAGATGTAGCTTATGGAGTGCTGCAATTCTACGGTCACCCCCTGACGATCCTTCACTCTCAGACCGTGCATGGTTCTTTTAATAGCACCCTCCACCAAAATTTCTTTCAAATTCTGCGCTGCAACTAAACTTAATGAGTGGAAAGCCGAATCGCCAAATCTATTCTTGACCGATTCTCTGCCAAGTTTTGTGCACCCATGGACGATCAAAGCTTCTGGATCTCCTTTTTCTTTTTTTTTTCGTTATTGTCCGATTTTGTTAGAAGATTTACGACCAAGACGTAAAATTAACTATTTTCTTTTAACTAATTAAATAAAACACATATAAAACACAATTAAATGCTCAAATACATTAGTGTCCATATTTAACTAGTCTAAACTTATTAAACTCCTACTGACCATATACTTCTAGTTCTTATTAAATTGGATTAAGAAATTATTGGACTGACAAAGTTTAATAACAAAATTAATTAATAGCAAAACAACCCCAAAACTAAACAATATTAAAAAAAAAACTAAATATACAAATAATAAATAAAAATAAATATAAAATTAATAAATTATTTCAAATTAAATATAAAGAGATTACTAAAAATAATGTTTATCAACTGTACCATCAAACTTTGATACCTCAAATTTTGTAATTGAATTGGTTATCTTAATAGTGCTCTGATACCAACATTGCTCTGATACCATCATGTAATTCCGGTGGTATCCAGACCTTTCGGCTCAGGAGTCAATGAAGACGTGGTGAGAGGTCAGATCGATGTCTGTGGTGGATACAACACGCTAGCTCGTGATTTGAAGACGCTTTTTGTATACCCTGATCGCCATCAAATCATCACTCATCTTTTGTGGCATTGGGCTCAGCATAGAGTTTTGTACATTCATCTTCCCAATATCCCCGATTTTGAAGTTTTAAAATTGCCTATTGACCCTTTAGTGACTTTTTGGACAGACTTTAAAGGATTAATTAGCAAGGTCATATTCAAACCTGAGTTAGATGGGAATAAAATCCCCATCAATGGTGGCCCAGATGATAGAGCCCTTTTTATTTTACAGAAGCATTTATATGAAAATAGGCTTAAATTTTTGAAAATTTTACGTATTTACATTTCAATTTTGTTGAGCGGTAATGAAACTTAAATAATGACACTTGAATTCGTTATCTCAATAGTGCTCTGATACCAACAGTGCTCTGATACCAAATGTGCAATGATATCATTTTGTTGATATTAACAAGAATTGATTTGTAAGTTTATCTATCGTAGTCTACTTATTTATGGTACTTCTTAACCTGTCGCACACTGTCATAACACAAAATTCCATGTACCATCAAACTTTGATATCTCAAATTTTGTACTTAAAGTGGTTATATCAATAGTGCTTTGATATCAACATGTAATTTCGGTGGCATCCAGACCTTTCGGCTCAGGTGTCAATGAATACATGGTAAGAGGTTAGATCGCTGTCTGGGGTGGATACGGCACGCTGACTCGTGATTTGCAGACCCTTTCTATAGAACCTGATCGCCATCAAATCATTCATCATCTTTTGTGATATTGCGCTCAGCATAGAGTTTTGTACATTCATCCCCGAGTTTAAAGTTTTAAAATTGCATATTGACCCTTTAGTGACTTCTTGGGCAAACTTTAAGGGATTAATTAGCAAGGTCGTATTCGAACCTGAGTTAGATGAGCATAAAAAAAAAAAATCAATCAATGGTGGCCCAGATGATAGAGCATTTTTTATTTTACAAAAGCATTTACATGGAAATAGGCTTAAATTTCTAAAAGTTTTACGTATTTACAATCCAATTGTGTTGAGTGGTTGTAAAACTTACATAATGACATTTTGATTTTTTAGTGTTTATTTTTAACCAAACATTTGATTTGTTAGTGTTTATTAATGGGTAGATCCGTTATGTTTTTTATCTCAACGGGTCAACCTGTTAAACATATTAAGAACTCGTTTAATCCGTTAATATTATGTGTTAAATCTTTTACATGAACGAGTTTATATAAACTTGTTTATAACTTATCACCAAGAATTCATTGTTATATAATATAAAAGAAAAGTACTTTTTTATTTAAAATATCAGTTGAATGGATAAGATTAAAATAAGTAGATAATATGAAGCAATATATTAAAAGATTTCCATGTTTAATATATTTCATATAACATATTTTAAAATACACAAAAAGTAAATACAAACTGTGATAAAATATTTGTTATTTGTATAAGTTTGCACAATTTATATACTAATAAAATTAAATGAAATTATTTAGTAGACAATTGATTTATAATTTATTATATTATGCACGTGTTTGCAGTTAATATATTAGACACATGTAATTAACATATCATATTATGTGTCAATCCATGTACATTATTATTGATTATCCCATATCTCTGAGATTATATGTCAAAAATTACATAGTTAAAGTATCAATCCGATTGAACTCAATTGATCAAAGAATTTAAGTTTTTCGAATAAAACTGGTGATATATAAATTTTAAGTCAAGTAGTATTATTATTATTAAAAAAAAAGAGCAACGAATCTACACTTAATCAGTGTGTAGACACGAAAAATTTGAAACCGACAAATGGTCCAATTAAATTATTATTTCGGGATTAAATCAAATGGGCCTAGTTTCAGGATTAATTATTGAGCCATGATAATTAATTTAATTTAATTAACCCAATTAAATTTGATTTTGGGTTATTGAATTAATTGATTAATTGATTCAAGCCCAATTCATATTTGAATTTATTTTAAATATAATTTTATTTTATTATATTTAAATTTGATAATTATAATTTAATTTGAATATGAATTAAATGATAGAATCTTGAACCTAGACTTGATTTTGGGAAGGTTCATTTTCTTAGATAATTAATTAATTAATTTAATTTAACAAACATTTCGGGAGTTTGTTCACTTGGAGGGATGGTGGTTACATTTTACACTATAAATAAAATCCTTATTTGACATCTTGAAACACAACTTGAAGGCATTTCAAGGCTTGAAGGCACTTGAAGAACTTGAATG